AGCGAGATTGGTCACAACTGTTAATAGGTTACTGTTGTCCAATGTTTGTCCGACTATTCCTCATATCATCGAGAAATATCTTGCTGAGAAGGGCTTTTTCTACTTTCACCGATGTCTATCTTAAGAGCGGGAATCCAAGATCCTCAATATAGTCACGTCCTAAGCTTCGTTAGACAGGTGTATTATATACCTGTCGACAATCTTGTCATTCCTGAATGAATTCTTGTTGACTTCGATAATACATCTTACCGAATCTTTTTTTGATGAACTAACCTGCTATCTCTGCCATCAATTTGGTCATATACCCTCAACATATACCAATATTGCGATTCAGTCAAATACATCCATACTTACATCCCAAACCGATCAATAATCTATTCCTTCCTAGAATGCGATAGCTGAAAGCAAAAATAACTCTGTTCAGAATCAAACGGAAAACACTTGTGACGTAATGGACTCCCAAAAACTACATACAGATATTACCATACAGAAACGTTCTCATTCTGAAATATCGACACCACTTGGTACACCAACGGCAGAAAACACAGAACTAGTTTTTATAAAACCAAAAGCAATATCAACTGAATTTATTGATGAAATTTCAGTTCGGTTCGAATTAAACTATACAGAGATAGTCAGCTTTCTGGCAGATGCACATGGTTGCCCGAATCCATTAAATATCGCACTAGAATAAACGAAAAACCTATCAGGACTATTAACAATACTAACAGAAGTCTATTCCAAACTCATAGACAGACGCAATAAATCTAGAATTACACGAATAAAGAAGAAAATACGTCGTCAGTTAAATATAGAACAAACTGAAAAATATGAGAACTCCGAAGATACAGATGTTTCTCAAGAAAGCACTACTTAAAAAAATAATAATAATAATATTAAATGTTATCATGAATGAATCATATATGTTAATTCTACTCTAGAATCAGAAAAGATTCCTTTACACTCTGCTTTAAAAGATGTAGCAATTAAAGTTCAATGTCCAACTTAGCCATTTGTATGCAATGTTTATATCCTATTAGATATGGATTTTGTCGCAAAAGACCTGGAAGATTTAATCGAGCAAAACTTAGACTTATTCTAGGTAACTTTAACTCTCACAACATTTCCTGGGGATGTTATTTCACAGACAAAAAAGGAGAACAAATAGAAAAATTTCTGAATGAATCAGATTTTGTTCTATTAAACACAGGAGAAAACTCGGTTTAACTTTGTTGCCGGCAATCATTCTACTATTGATCTGACTATATGTGAAAGTTCCCTAGCTCCTAGTATAAACTGGGAAGTATTAACCCATACCTACGATAGTGATCGCTGGCCTACAAAAATAAGAAATAATAATTCCACAAGAACAATTATAAATTTTTCAGAAACATGGAAAACTAAAGATGCAAATTGGATATCTTACCATCAACATGTTGAAGACTACCTACATAATTTTGGAACAATAGGAGATAATATTAATGTTGTTACAGGCAAATTTACCTCAATGTTAACAGAGGTAGCCACAAATATTATAGGCAAAACAGCAAAATCAAAACCTAAACATTCAGTACCGTGGTGGAACAAACAATGTAAAGAGACACTTAAACAAAGTAAGCATGCATTTATTGTATTAAAAAAACATCATACACCGGAAAACATAACAACTTTTAAATTATAGATCCTACGTAAGGTACGAAATTAAGAAAAGTAAACGTGAATCATGGCAAATTAAGTTTCCACAATAACCGAGAATAGTCCTGCATCAGAGATCTGGAATAAAATCCATAGGATTAAAGGCGTTTCATACAGCAACAAAATTAACTCTCTTGACATTGAGGAAAACTTAATTACAAACAACAGTCAAATAGCCAACGCTTTAGCAAACTCAATTCAGACATATTCAAGTGATTCCTTACATGACCCATTATTTGTCGAAAACTAAAAGATATAGAAAAGATAAACTTCATAGCGATGTTCTAAGTTTCTCGTCTTGTTATAGAATAAGAGTTGTCCCAAGCCCGCGAAGATGGTTAAAATGGCATCCTTAAATTCATCAAAGGTTTGTGTTTGTCGTTTAAAAATGGTAGTTTTGCTATGTCCAAAATGTATGCATCTAGAAATGTGAGGTCCGGAGAATGTGAAGGATAAGGGAAGTCAGTAAATCGTCTAAAGTATCTGCTTGCAAAATGCCTCTGAAGAAATTGACGAATTACGACAACAATATGGCCTGTGATATGGTAAATTGTGATGGCCTGCTAGAAATAGTGGTCTAAAAATGCCAAATTTTATGCACGACAAAATTGCCTTAGATTATGGATAAAGCGTATTACAATTTGTATGTACCTCTATTGATTAAGTGTGACTTGCGTACCATTTTCTCGATAAAGTATGGACCAATGATTCCTTGTCCAGAAACTCCACACTAGACACTCACGTTAGGAACTTTCTTAAGTTCATCTGGTCTGGCAAAGTGCAAAAATCAATTTTTGCGACTACTTATATGGGTCAGTAAATAAAAATGTGCTTTCTCTGAAAATCATACAATTTTTTAAAAATCAAGATTTTCTTAGTTTATTCGTCTTCCGGGTTTGGACCGTGTCATTTGTGAGTGACCCAAAAGTGGGTTCATCTCGACGTTTCGCTACAATTGTATGTAGCTTCTTCAGGAGAACAAAGAAAAAGAAAAAAGAAAACAAAAGAACAGGAAGATGGGTAGTTATCAACGGTAACTCAGTTACTCAACGCAACCAGAGGCGAATACTAACTACCAAGATGGGCATTTGGTCACAGTAACTCAACTACTCAACGCAGCCAGAGGTGAAAACCAAATGCCAGGACAGGGATTCACGTCCAACAGCTCAGAACACTAACGCGTCGAGGATTCACTCCCCGCCTCTCGACGCGTTAGTGTTCTGAGCTGTTGGACGTGAATCCCTGTCCTGGCATTTGGTTTTCACCTCTGGCTGCGTTGAGTAGTTGAGTTACTGTGACCAAATGCCCATCTTGGTAGTTAGTATTCGCCTCTGGTTGCGTTGAGTAACTGAGTTACCGTTGCTAACTACCCATCTTCCTGTTCTTTTGTTTTCTTTTTTCTTTTTCTTTGTTCTCCTGAAGAAGCTACATACAATTGTAGCGAAACGTCGAGATGAACCCACTTTTGGGTCACTCACAAATGACACGGTCCAAACCCGGAAGACGAATAAACTATAATTCTGACTCTGGCCGTGGAAGCCTACGATTCCACAAGATTTTCTTACTGTAACGCAATAATTCTGGCGCAATATTCCACTTTACTGCGATAGTCCTAAGGATGTAATTGTTGATATACCTGAATCACATACGAAAATTCCACCGCAAATGGAAGATTACCTAAAAAGTGAATTACTGGATACTGCGGCAGCAGTATCCAGTATAGTAAAATTTTAACCAATAGATTGACAACAACATTCGATGGATACTAGTCGAAAGAACAAGCTGGTTTTAGAAAGGGATTCAGCACAAGTGACCATTTACTAAGTATGAAAATACTTATAGAACGAGCAAATGAATACCACATTCCTCTATATATGGCGTTTATAGATTTCGAAAAGGCTTTCGACAGTGTCGAACATTTGGCAGTGAAAAGTTCTTTGATTAACAGCCGAATTGGCCACAGATATACGGAACTAATAACCAACATATATAAGGAAGCCAAAACAAAAATTAAAGTATATGAAGGAACAAAATCATTACAAATAAGTAGAGGCGTGAGACAGGGTGATACAATATCACCGAAACTTTTCAATCAGGCTCTTGAAGATACTTTTAAAAGATTATGGGAAGAAAAAGGTATAAAAATTTGTGGACAACGCTTGAACCATCTAAGGTACGCTGATGACATCGTATTGATAAACGATAAAAAAGATGAATTATTTGAAATGATGAAAGAACTGGACGTAGAAGCTGGAAAGATAGGCCTTAATATGAATTACAGCAAGACCAAAACTATAACAAATACAGATGAAGACATCACAATGAGAATCGGACAAGATGAAATAGAACAAGTTAAGGATTATATATATCTTGGTCAAACTATAAAACTTAACAAAGAGAACCAAACAGCAGAGATCAAGAGACGAGTTAGACTGGCATGGGCGGTATTTGGCAAACTAAGCTACATTCTTAAAAACAAAAGATATCCACAGCATCTTAAGACCAAAGTATATAATCAATGCGTACTCCCTGTTCTTACGTATGGCTCCCAAACGTGGACATTTACAAAAGCAAACATGGACAAAATCATAAAAACCCAAAGAGCAATGGAAAGACAAATGTTGCACATAAGACTAATGGATAAGAAGAGAAACGAGTGGATAAGAGAGAAAACAAAAGTGAGGGATGTTAGACAAGAAGTTGCAAAATTGAAATGGAGATTTGCCGGACACAATATAAGACAAAAAGAAGACCGATGGAACAAATTCTTATAAGTTGGAGACCGTGGAAATATAAACGAAGCAGAGGAAGGCCCCAAATGAGGTGGGCAGATGATATCAAGAAGCACGTGGGCTCTAGATGGATGACTGTTGCGACAGACAGAGAAGAATGGAAAAGGATTGGGGAGGCCTATGTCCAAAGATGGACCGAAGAAGGCTAATTAGATAGATAGATAGATAGATTAGCGGCCGCATTTAGAGACGAGTATGCCAAGTACAAAATTAAAACAATTGCGGAAAAATAGGTCGTTAAGGTATTAAGAAGGCCTTAGAATTGCGAGCTGAACCCGATTGAGGTGGTGTGGGTTCAAGTGAAAAGGTATGTGGCTTTAAACAAAGTCGATTTTAAAGAAAAAACGATAGAACGGTTGATAAAAGAAGCTCACCAACGCGCATCTAAAGAACAGTGACAGAATTATGTGAACCATATCAAACAAGTAGAGCAATAGGTTTTCATATATTTCATCTAAAATTCATCAAAAAGACTTTTTAAATAAAAGGGACATAAATAAAAAACACACATTTTTATAAAAAAAATATATATAAAATCAGTGATTGTAGGTTAGCTTAATCTTTCTTCTTCAATTTGTCTGCCAGTAATAGGTTGTTCTTCGTCTTCAGGTACCTTTTCTATATAGTTCCACCATTGCCGTTCTCCAGATGCAAAAATTACGAATATTAATGTTGAGAAGAGGTACAAACCAACAGCAGTGAAAAATACTCTTCTCCACAAATACTGGTTGCTCTGAAAATGATATTAAAATTATTAGTTAACAATTTACTCAATAATATACTCCAGTACTAATAGTTTATTATAATATTCTTTTTTATTTCGAATTAACGTGTCTTGACATCTTTGGTCATTGACGCGGAAGCAAGGGTTTACATAGTACCTACAGTGCTATTATACAGAGTTTACAATAGTAAATAATATTAAAATTATCTAAATTATATTTTGTTAAATAACTGTCTAGTTTCTAAGAAGTTTAGTAGGTTCTTGAGTCTGCTTGAACAGCCCAGAAGTTCTTTTAAACTGTGGGTTATATTGTTGGCAATGCGAGTGGCCTGGTAGTGTTGACATTCTGTTAGGATGTGCTTGATGGTAATAGAAATATCGTTGCAGTGGCAGCATAACTGTTGGTCTGTAGAGAACATAAGATGACCGTGTATGATGGTGTGTAATAATATATTATTTGGTATTTTCCAAATAAAATCTTGGAAACCATATTTTCCTTTAGATTGTTTGGAGGTAGTGGGTGGGAAATTAAAAAGGAGTTCAATACAAATGAAATCAAATAAAAACTAACTCCAACACTACTATTTAAATTAAAAATAATTCCAAACAATTAGAAATTCTAGACCAAATAAAACACTTTGGTAATTAAATGTTCAAACAGACCATCAAATTGTAACGAACAGTAACCAAATCTATTATATAACGCATTTCTCATGGCGTTGAGTTCATCTGCCGATATGTTTTGGCTAAGTTGGATTATCTTTTCCTTCAATTCCTCCAAGTTGGTGGCTTGCTTGAACTCATGCCTGTACAATTTCGTTTTTAGCATCCCCCAAAAATAAAAATCTAGAGGAGCTAAATCAGGTGACCGAGGAGGCCATTTTATTGTACCGTCTGTACTAATAACACGTTCAGTAAAAATTAAAGCTAAATAGTCTCTAAAGTTTTTTGCATTATGTGCAGAACAGCGTTATTGTTGAAACCAAATTTCGTTGAAATTAACTTGAAGACGTTGAAGTGCAGGAATAATTTGATTTTGCAATAACTGGAGATGTTTGACTGCATTTAAATTGCCTTTAATGAAAAAAGGACTAATAATATGGTCTCCCAAAGTTCTAGTCCAAAGATTCAACTTTTGTCGATACTGCGTACGCACAGACACACTCAAATGCTTATTCTCCTGAGACCAATAACGTACAACGCGTGGATTATGTTGTTTGCGGATTTGTGAAGGAGAACCCACCTGTAAACAAAACATTTTCCAAAAAAATTTTATTTGCATCTCTCTATCATCATTTCACAAAATTGCATCCGTTTAAATTGATTATCAGGAAATATTTCTTGAGTTGTCTGCACTTTATAACAATGGTAGTTGTTTCTTTTCAAAATATTCCTCTCCGTTTTTGAATTAAAATCAACTTCATCGGCAATTTTCTTACTTGAATACGTCGTCGCTTCAGCCGATGTACAAACTTGAATTTCTTGTTCTTGAGAAATTGTCTTTTCGTGAGGTTGATCTGATGGGCAGCATTTTTTACATCTGCCATTAGTACAGCCAAACTTCAAAGTTAAAATATATGAATAAGGCCAGATACAGTTTTTTCTATACAGTACAGAGTTTCCTGTACTGAATTGTCCCCAAAGTACTATTTTATTATTTGTACCCCTTCTTCTGTTATAAATAGTCGGCATATCAAATGTTAATCTTCACACTTACGCAGTTACCTACAAACAGAAATAAATAGCATAACGCTTGGCCTGTTTCGTATGCAGTTTACTATTGAAGAGAACGGACGAATAGTGATGTTGCCAAAATTATCTTGTTTTATTGGAAATCAGGTAACAATTTCGTCAAATAAAAATGCGAATCTGTAAATTTCTCATGGATTTAAGAAATTTTGTACCAGTATTTGTGTCAATTAGTGTTTCATTTTTAATATCATCATCCAGTTTTGAATGGCAATATAACTGCGCCATGATCGCCAATTTTTTTAATCAGTTCAAGGTTTTAATTCAAATATGTAATAAGGCAAACCATGCTGCTGTTTCTTACGTATAAGCTGGATAGGAAATCATGGTCTGGCATTTAATAATGGGCGTGCATGAGGAATGTGAAGGGGAGAACAAAGGGAAATATAATTTTTATCTTTGCCTATTCGCTAAAAATATGACTTTATATCTGTGTTAAATATCCTGTTGAATTCTACTATACCGACCATAAACTTTTACCTATATCGTATATACTTATCCATATACTCACAATTGGTACATTACTCATAACTATATAACTACATTTAAAATTTACCAAGATTTAATAACTAACTAACTAGATAACTAACCTCATCTGGTACCATAAACTGGATAGCTATTGGAGTAGCTAAGGATAAAAGTTCTCCAGCTGTATTCGTGAAACCCATAAGAGTCGAACCGAAATTGGGCGCCAGATCCAAGTGATTGATATTGAAGCCAGCTCCGTTTAAGCTACGAAAAGATGCTGCTAACATGAGTACAACGACAGACAATGCTCTGTAAGTTGTCGGCATGAATGCTAAAATGAACAGCAATATGGCACATCCTATGGAACCTACAAATTTATTATGCAAGGTTTATCATTTATTATAAAAAATATAAGTAATTAAAATAATAAAAAATGTTATTAAAATTTGTCGGCCTGTAGGTGATTTTAGTTGTAAGGAAGATTAGAAAAAAGCCTGCGAAGTGGTAGGCATTTAGCATTACGCAATCTTGTATAACATTCGATGCTAATCTTGCTGGTTTTTTGCACCATTCATTCATTTCGTTTTGGCACTATACGGAAAAAAATTGCGGGAAAACAGAAGAAGAATTATTATGATACTTCACACGTCACGATTGACCCAATAGTAGCAAAAACATCTATTGCCCATTGACTTCTTTATATATACCTATTCTTGAAAGATTAAATGAATTGACCATATACGTAAACGATTAGCATCTGTTCCTTCGCAGTTATTGCTTGTTGGGTCCAATCCCACGCAAGGAAAAACTTTTTATATAATAAATATGAATAATTTGTAAATTAATTTGAAAAATAACTCGGTTTAAAAATGGCTAATTGTAGCCAGTGACGAATAATGGATAATAGTTGAACTACAAAAACAATTTGTAAAGACCATATAAGAAGGGGCATTACGCCAGATTTTAAAAGTCAAAGTGTACTAAAGTTGCTACCTATCTACTACTATTTGAAACTATTTAAAAACAACATTAAATTATATGAACTTTGCATATATTTTAGTTAGATAGTATATAGATGTTAGGGCTCGTATATATACGTGAAATGAAAGGTTAAGAAAGAAATTATAATGGGACACTGATAAATGATAAAGGAATCGTTAGAAAAAAGATAAATGAAAGAATTCTTAAAGATGATTGACTAAACATAGAAAAGTGTTGGACTGTTTATTCATATTTTATTTTGAATTATAAACTTACCTGCTGAAGACATAATTTTTCTAGTTGCACCTACTGATAAATAATTCTTTGATATCATTTTGTCAGACACTATTGCTATGATCATACCCACGCACATATTGCACACGTGGGGTAGTGATGATAGTACACCATTCTAAAAGAAAAAATATTATTGTATTGGTAAATCTAATTTGACATCATTTGTCAGATGATCTATTTGATCGAAAGTCTTATTGGTGATGTAGTTTACATATATCTCATTAGGAATATCTGGTGTATTGGACTATTTGGAAGTAGGAAGTTGATTAGTTATTTGAGGAATTTGGTCCAGGGGCTTTAATGTATTTTAATTTAAACATGTTTTCCCTTATATCTTTTACTGTTATCTCTATGATGACAGTATCATTACTTTCTTATTCTCAGTCTGTTTCTGTAGGCATAACTCGGTCATCATTGTAACAATATTTATTGCTCTGCTTCTATGCATACAAGAACTTTCTTGATACTATAAATTTAGCAGGATTGGAAGAAATATTAATAACTAATAACCTTCCGTTAGGCTAATAAGGTCTACCAGATCCAGAGGTTTAAATTATTAACCTTAATTATTATGCGCGTAATTCCCACACATCACTTGAGCGCTGTGTATCTCCTGTATTGACTGGCTTTATTGGTTTTCAAAGATGTGTATTAGGATATCTTGTAACTTTACGACAGTCTTGTGTTTTAACCATCAGTGTGTAACTTTTAGTTTATGTAATATTATATTTTATTTGCAGTTATAAGTTAGGTGATTTTGACAAGAGACTGATATAAGCTCCAGGTTAAGAGCATCCCACTGCAACAAGAACGTTCGTTCTAAAAATATAATTATATATTTACCAAGTGTTCGAAAATAGTTCACAGAAAAACCCAAAAAACCCATTGGACTGTTACAAACTGATATGGCATAGATGATACAAGAAATATTTCTAAGGCATAACCAAAAAACTCGGAAAAAAGCAGCATCGTAGTGAAAAAACATTGACATAAAGTAACCGATAAAACCGTTAGGGAACTTTCTTCTTTATCTGGTCTGTTATATTTGGCCAGATTCTATCGCTAGGAAGGCAAAACTTAGATCATTTTTGAAATACAGATGATACAATCATATTGAAATTTAGAATATCCTTATACAGATACAGGTTTCTTTTGACAGCTCTGAGATTTCATGATTCAAGAATTTGATCTAAGCGTCAATAATTTGATAAGCTAGCTACCAACAGATGTTAATAAATGTTTTACACATTTGCACATTTTACACATTGCTTTGTATATAAAAATAACTAAAGAGTCACATAGACCCCACTACACTCAAACCACAAAATTATCCCAATGCTCTACGGAAGATTAAATGTGATATAAATCCTAAGTCATTGGATAATTATTAAAATATTTGGACAGTTGTTTCAGGATTCAATGCTTTCTTTTGATGAAAATATCTATATCCCAATGTACTGAATTTATGAACGGAATAAACAAAATGTTGACTGCAATTAACAGATCAACATTCGAAATTATTTTTGGAAAGTAATTTTAGTTTTTATAAGCGAAATTTTGAGAACTTGCCGCACTTATACAATATCAGATTTCGTCTAATTTGTCATCCAACATTTTTATTTCTTTGCTTATGTACAGTGGATCCCTCTAAGTTAATAATTATTTTATTTCACAAGAAGAAGCCCTTAAGGGGCATGCCCACTGGCATCAAGTGGCAAGAATAAAGGTTGAACAAGAACTGTCGGATGAAATAAATATAAAAAGAGGAGTGAGACAAGGCTGTATATTGTCGCCTTTACTGTTTAACTTATATTCGGAGGAAATATTTAAGGAAGCCTTAATGGAGACAGGTATTATTGTGAATGGAGTAACCGTCAAAAATATAAGATATGCCGACGATACCTTAGTGCTTACTAATTGCGGAGAAGACCTTCCAAATCTAATGAACAAAATAAAACAGACTTGTGATCAGCATAGATTAAAACTCAATGTTAAGAAAACTAAATATATGATAGTTAGCAAACAAAATTATATACACGATGACGGTATAAAAGTCGAAGATGCCACACTGGACAGAGTAGAGAAAATCCTGTATCTCGGTAGTAATATCAATGAGAGCTAGGATCTAACCGCAAAAATTAAAAGCCGAATAGAACAAGCCCGAACTGCCTTTGTAAAAATGAGAAACGTACTTTGCAGTCACGAACTTAGCATTGACCTTAGAATTGGAATGACATCTTGCTACATGTTTCCTGTCCTGCTGTATGGAGTGGAAGCGTGGACTTTAACTGAGGCTATCCTTAAACGCTTGACAGCCTTTGAGATGTGGGTATACAGACGACTACTGAAAATAAGCTGGGTCCTGGTAGAAGAAGAACATCATGGCTGAAAAATTTAAGGCAATGGTATGGAAAATCAATAATATCGTTATTTAGAGCTGCTGTCAATAATGTCACAATAGCGAATAGGGTAGCCAACGTGATATCCAACGATCGATAACGGTCATGGAACTAGAAGAAGAAGAAGCCCCTAAAGGATAAAAATTTAACCCTTTCTGCTATATAGAATTTAGGTGCAGTTTTCAGAAATTTGGGGTTTCAATAAGGGAGAAATGAGTTGACGCTTGAACTGCCATTGACCCCTTAATCGGTCGTTAGCCTTGACTATGACATGCTCTTGACCTTATCCTGTTATCAACTATTATGCGGTCATTTATCGTAACCATGACAGGTCGTTGATCTTGTTCGGTTGTTGACCTGGTCGGTATTGGGGGGTGATCGAATAATTGGGAATATACGAAGTGAGGGAATATTTGCAATATATATTTATATTTACAATATATATATATATATATATATATATATATATATATATATATATATTCGATCATTTATTTAGTGTTAGGTCTCTATTTGTCACTATAAAGTATTATAGAGAACAGAGCTGTACTTAATGTATAGTCCGTCTAGAAAGTATCCGGAAAAAAGAAAGCAGAATTATAATTTTACTGTATTTATTTCTATCACTTAAAATAAAAAAATTTTAACAAATAATTTATCTCATATACTTATACAACCTCCATTTTAATCTAAACACTTAACTAAACGTCCAGGTACACCCGAAACTAGGTCAAGCCCATAATTTTCGGTAATGGTGTTCCAGGCCTGTAAAACTAACAGAATTAAACCTGCTTGATCTCGTGGCGCTGCTCGTTCCACTTGAATCTTCATCAGTCCCCATATGTTTTCAATGGGGCCAAGATCTAGAGGCCAATTCGTGATCTTGCATCCAAGCTTCAGTATGAGCAGAAGTATGGCATCTTGCGTTAGCTTGCTGAAAACTCGACCCCTCTGGATATAAAACATAAGACTTTGCAAGAAGAAAACCATTTAGGATGTCATAATATTTCGCACTATCAACAGTACCATTAACTATACAGAGAGGTGTAGAACCACGCTGAGATATTGCTCTCCAAATCATTATTATTCGAAAATTTGGAAATTTGATTGAACGGTAACATTTTCTCTTGCTAGGACTTTTAGATCATTTGCATCAAGCTGGAGACAACTTTCATCAGATATAAAGACATTATTAAAATCTATTCTTCGTTGCCTTTGCAAGGTGTCATTGTAGGGATTTTTTTGGAACCCTCCATATGTAGCCTTGCTTTTTCGGTGACATGCGGACAGTTTCTGGGCACACTTTTATTCTTCGTTGATTTCCAAATCTGTTCGCTAATTTTCAAAACCCTAGGCGCGGTTTTCTATGCAATTTTTTATCCTCTTTATTGTGTCATACACTGCGCACTTTTTCCGAGTTCAGTCAATTGCACTAATTTAACGTTTCGGACAACCTTTCTATACAAATATTCCACCACTTTTCATTTTTTACTTGCGACATTATTTCACAACTCAAGTCTGTTTACAAACAACAATATTTGACAGATGGTGTTGTCATGCGATTTTATCCTTAACCTACTATCGGCATAACCTTCTTGATGCATTACTTTTGTCTTAAAATGTTACAAAAAGGAAATCTATTAAAAGGAAAAATATAAAATTCCGGATACTTTTTAGACGGACTATATATTCGTTATTAGACCACTAGAATACTTACTGAACGGATATCAAAATGCATAACTTTATTCATGTAGATCGGCAATTCAGTAAAGAAGATGGCAAAGCCCCATCCGCTGCATAAAAACATAAATACAGTTGCCAAAAACGGCACTGAAGTGAAGATTGCTCTAAAAGGTATAGCTACATTCTAAAAAAAAAACATATTCATAATAAATATCGAGACGCCATCGCTGTGGTAAACTTAAAACACTTACCCGCATATTTTGTGAATGTAGCGAATTTTCTATATACGCCTTTTCAGCTGCAGTGATCGATGAATGATCTGCAGGGCATCCGGCTCCATAAAAATAATAAAACACTATCCATATCATGCCCAAAGAGGGTAATATGTAAAAACTTAGAGGCCATCCTGCCCAGGAGGCGCAGATGAATCCAGTACTGCTTAAACCGGCTATAGTGCCCAATATGGATCCTTAAAATAAGTTTGTTATTATTGAATAAAATATAATATAAAATAGGATACTTTTTTTCAAAACATTTTTATGGTTCTCTAACCTTTAGAGGAGATTTTAGAGTCCTGTTTGGCCGTTTTTGATTCATCCACAGTAATTCTTTATCTACAGTCCTATTTGGACCCACTAAATTCGGTTAAAAAGTTTCCTTTCCTATTTATTTATGGATCCCCATATTGTCATCTACATTAAAATATCTTGCTTATGCTGCTTAATCTGTAAATTTGAAACACATATCCCCAAAATATCTACATTGTCTTGAATATTACTTTTGTTCTTGCTGTACTAGTATAGATCAGGATTTTACTGTTTTTCGCATTTCTCTATTTCTTCATATTTTAATCTGTCTGCCTAGGTATTAATCCCAATTTAATTGTAAACTATTTAGTTTCTATCCTTCTAGTTTCTACCCTGTATTCGAAGACAAAATGTAACATCCTATCGACACACTTTCCTATTTCGCTCAAAATTGATACGTTTGGTACATATTCTTTTTTTTAAGTTATAAAGTTTTTTGGGACCAATCAAGTTTTTTCACATTTTTTATTAAATTTTTTTTTTGACTGTAAGAAGTTTGCTTAAAATACATGAAGAGGAATCATATGCTCAGAATACTATGGTAAAGAATAATCATTTCGGCAGTATCAATTTTATTTTTTATATAATTTGCAAATATTGACCTAACTTTGCTAGTATTTTGCATGGGTACTCCTCTATAGCTTCCACTATATTAGGTTGTCGTTATTTGTTCGAAATAAGATTAAAGTATCCATAATTTCTTTTACTTTTTCAGAAATAACATGAAAATGGCATAAAAAGGCTCAATTAATACTCCAGTAAATATGGTAAATCCCTTACCTACAACTGTAATTCCATACAAACTGGATCTTTCATTAGTAGGTGCCCATTTTCCAAGTAGCCCATGTACACTGGGTATTACCAAACCTTGTGCAAATCCTTGAATCACTCTACATACAGCTACGCCTTCTATACCGACTTTCTCAGCCATGGTTGGTATCCACAGACTAGCCATAGAGTTCATAAAAACTGCTGCTAGGAGAAAATATTTGGTACCGAATTTTGTACCGAGTATTCCTATTGGGATTTGGGGGATAACGTAGCCCCAGAAGAAGGTAGAGAGAAGGATTCCTGTGTTGGTCCAGTTGAATACCTAAAAAAGTGACTGATTTAAAAAAATTGTAAATTCTATCTTTAATTGATTGATTGTTGAATTTAAGTTGCTATAATATATTCAAATTATTACTGTAATAAGAAAAAATGTTGAGAAGCTACATTACGCAATTAAAATCTGCTAAGGTGCTACATCTACTCTGTCCTTTTGTATGGAATGAAATGGTGACTTTATTGGGCATCCATGTAAATTCTCTTTTTTGAATTTGATTGACGATACCCAATATCAATAATCGACATGTTTGCCAAATACAATTATCTTAATTTTTGAGAAGTACCTACTTTATTCTACCAGGTCTATAAGCTTAAGTTTTTATCTCTCTCATGTCGTTTCCCCATTTTGAGGATCGTGCTTTCTTCCAATATTCCTAACAATTTTTCTTCATTGGTCTCATTGATCTTCAGCTGGTCTGAGAGTTTCGCAGACTTTGACAATTTTAGATTTATGTTTGAACTGGGACTTTCTACATTATGTAAATCAATAGATTTAAGAATAGCTTGTAAATAATAGGTTGCATTGAATATGATATCTACCTTCCGTTTTCAGGGATTCATTTTTGATATCTCAAAAGCGATGATTAATGGTGAAAGAGAAAGTAGAAAGTTATTGTCTTGTATGATTTGTACACAATTACGGGCATTTGAAATTAGTGGAGTTTTATGAATTTGGAGAGTTTTGGAATTTGGTTGAATGCAAAAAAAGAATGTTTTGATTGGTTACAAGAAATTATGGAAGGGATAGACACGGGAATGAGATTGAAAAAGCAAGGAGAATCATCTGCTCTGGGACTTGAAGCGATTGAAAATAAAATTGAAATGAGTATGCCGATAGTTTTTTTTTTAACCGGTGAAAGAAAAATTATTGTGGCGAAAAGTAGTGCGAAGAAAGTGTTGAAAGCTGTAGTTGCAGTATTTGTAAGTAAGATAATTTACTATTTTTGGAGCGAAGTATAGCTAAGAAGAATTTTAGCCCTCCTATAGGAGTAATAAACATTGTTATGAAAACAAAAACAAACATAGAAGAGATATTTCCAGGACGATGGATCGGTAGACGAGGTAGAATTGAATGGTTCCCACGTTCACCTGATTTCAATCCTAAAGATTATTTTTATTGGGGATACTTGAAAAATTCAGTTTACAAAACTAAACCAGCAAGTCTTGCAAAACTAAGGCAACCAAAAATCTATGAATCCCGAATAAATTCTAGACAATCATGGAAAAATGTAGTAGACGCATTCTACCATCGACTAGGGTACTGTTAACTTACAAATGGAACACATTTTACATGTTAACACTTGATAAAGTAACACGTGATAAAGTAACCATTGTGTTAAATAATGTTGTAATCGATCAATTGTTACGTTTTAATGTAGTTAAAAATAGTTAGTATTAAAAAAATTATTGAGACCATTAGACGTTGCCAGACTTCTGTTTTATGTATTCAAGACCTTCCAGACTACATAAAATCATAAGTGTTACATATGGTTGAACTCGTATGGAAAAGGAGATTTCAATAATGAGTGAATATACTGGGTGATGAATTTGAAAAACCAAAGTTACTAATAATATAAGAAAAACGGCAAATCTGGCAACATTGCAAATATTAAATATGGAACCTCCGTATCCCAAAACAGGTGTACCCGAAATTTTATATAATTATGTTTGTCAATTTACGAGATAATTGGCCGTTTCCAGACTTTTGGGTCACTCTGTATATTATAAATAGCAAGTTATAAATATGTTTTTTGTTTCTGGAATTAATTTTTTGTTTTTTTTCTGTTTCAGGTAAGCAATTCATAGTCCAAGTATATTACAAAAAGGGGTGAAATAAAGTAAGAATATTTTGTCATAAATTCTAACACCATTACGTTTTATTTATTTAGTATTATTTTTCTTCAATGATCAATGAGTGACATATATACAAATAGTCTTCTTCTTAGAGTGTCGTCTCCCTACGGAGGTTGGCAAATATAATGGCTATTTTTATTTTAGAACTCACTGCTCTAAACAAATCAATCGATCAACAAATAGTAAATACCCGTTTAGTATGCCAGATTTTTGCACCTATGTCACACCACACCCAATGGGAAAAGGTCATGGTGGAATTGCGTTAATCATTAGAAGTAATATAAAACATCACGAAATAAATAAACTGTGTGAAATCAACATTCAGACAACCTCTATATCTGTAGAACTCAGTAAAGGGCACATAACGATGTCAGTTGCGTATTGTCCCCCTGGTAAAATAATTAAAGAGGACCATTTCTCTAGTTATTTCAAAGGGCTTGGTCATCGCTTTATTGCAGTAGGTGATTTCAACGCGAAACATACAAGATGGGGTTCAAGACTGATAACAACTCGCGGAAGAGAACTTATTAAAAGTTTAAACGAAAATAACTTGACTCCAATTTCTACTGGGCAGCCAACCTACTGGCCTACAGATAGAAATAAAATACCCGATCTCATCGATTTTGGTATCATAAAAGGAATAAGTAACAACTTTTTAGACATTAAACCTTCTTTTGACCTTTCGTCGGACCATTCTCCCATATTTATTGATGTGATGGAACATGTATATAATACAAATAAACACCCCACGTTTTCAAATCATAAAACAAATTGGAGTCTGTTCAGATTTAATATTCAAAACACAATTAACTTAAATCTTCCTCTTAAAACAAGTGAAAATATTGAGGAAGCAGTTCATCACCTTACATCAATCATTCAACAGGCAGCTTGGAGAGCCACTCCAGATCTAAATCGAGGTAATAACTGTAAACCATATCCACATCATATAAAAATCTTAATCAACGAAAAGAGAAAACTAAGAAAACAGTGGCAAACTTCCAGATCTCCTGAGAACAAAACTGAACTGAATAGGGCTACTCGTTTGCTTAAAAGAGAATTACACAAATACAAAGATCAGGGCATAAATGAATTTCTTGAAAGTCTTACTGCGACGGATGACACAAACTACTCTATTTGGAAACTTTCTAGGAAACTTAAACATCAGATTAAGCATGACGGTCCCATTAGAAATAAAGACGGTGATTGGGCCAAGGCCGATGAAGATAAAGTACAAGCATTCGCTAATCATCTCAGCCAAGTTTTTCAACCACACTCCAGAACTATCTCAAAGAAAGAAGAAGAATTCATTCACAAGAACTTAGATGCACCCTACCAGATGTCACCTCCTATAGAAAATATCAAAATTAACGAAATAAAAGAGTTAGTTAAACATCTCAATACTAAAAAAGCTCCAGGGTATGATTTAATATCGGGAAAAATCTGCAAAAATTTACCCGAAGAAGGATTTTGGTTGCTTATGTACATATTTAACGCTATACTAAAGTTAGGCTATTTTCCGTTTCAATGGAAAATGGCACAAATTATTCTAATACCGAAACCAAATAAAGATCTACAAGAACTATCATCCTATCGTCCAATCAGTTTGCTTCCCATTATCTCTAAGATATTTGAGAGGATACTCCTTCAGAAAATGAATTCTATAATCAACAGACAAAAGTTAATACCTGATTATCAGTTTGGATTCAGGCAACAACATGGAACAATTGAGCAGGTACATAGAGTTGCCAAAGTAGCAAGAGATGCGATTGAAAAGAAATAATACTGCACTGCAGCCTTTTTGGATGTCTCACAAGCATTTGATAAAGTATGGCATGAGGGGCTGCTATCTAAAATAAAAACTCACTTTCCTCATCCTCTGTATGCTCTTCTGAGATCCTATCTTACCAATCGATATTTCCAGGTCAGATGCAATGAAGCAGTATCAAACATATCTCCAATTCTATCAGGAGTACCTCAGGGTAGTATATTGGGACCAACTTTATACTTACTCTATATGGCAGATATTCCCACAAGAGTAAACAGCACAATCGCTACCTATGCAGATGATACTGTGATAATGGTTTCTAGCTCGGTTCCTGTTACAGCCTGTCAAAATTTACAAATTCATTTAAATGAACTAGACAAATGGTTAAAACTGTGGCGAATTAAAGTAAATGGCAGCAAATCAGCACATATAACATTTACTTTACGCAAAGAGAGTGTACCATCTGTGTGCATAAACAATACCATAATACCCAAAAAAAGTGATGTTAAATACTTGGGAATACATTTTGACAGCCGACTAAATTGGGGAAAGCACATCTGGACAAAGCGACTGCAACTAGGATTAATATACAGGAAAATGTATTGGTTCATGAATAAAAAATCCAAACTAAGTCTACATAATAAATTATTACTGTATAAATGTGTTCTAAAGCCAGTTTGCACCTACGGTATACAGATATGGGGTACAGCATCTAATTCTCACTTACTGAAACTTCAACGTTTCCGATCTAAAGTTTTGAGACATATTACCAATGCACCGTGGTACGTGCCCAATTATGTGATACACCGAGATCTTCAGATCCAAAATATTAAAGACACCGTTGTCTCACTCAGTGGCACTTACAAAAATAGACTACTAAACCATCCAAATACACTTGCCCAAGACCTACTTAAGCGACCAAGGAGAGGAAGACTAAAACGACGTGATCCTCTAGACCTCTCTATACCTTTATATACATAAACGTATATATCATTTTATAGCTACAACTGATACTACATATACCTAGAACTTATAATTGTGTGTGTTGTTATAATTTTAACTATTACTATTTTTTTTAATATGTTAGTAAAATGTCTTTGTAAATTGTTATTTATATTTCAAATATTTATATATATTAGAAATTTATCTTAAGGATTTCTGTCACTGGACAGCTCTCCCCTATGTTAATTACTTGATAAACATATTGATTATTGTTTTTTTTATTTGTAGAAACAGATTTCAATAAATAAAGGATGAAAAAAAAAAAGTATTATTTTTCTTCAATGATCAATGAATGAAATACATACAAATAGTCTTCTTCTTAGAGTGTCGTCTCCCTACGGAGGTTGGCAATCATAATGGCTATTTTTATTTTAGAACTCGCTGCTCTAAACAAACCAATCGATCAACAAATAGTAAATACTCGTTACTCTTGTACCGTTAGATGTTGAGGATGTCTGAGATAGTTTCTTAACTGGGCTGAAAGCTTTTTCCATATCAAATAAACTCAGATATATTTGGTTATTAATTGTTATAACTTTATGTATTATCTTTTCTGAATCCACTTTGTGCATCCTTTAATTTGTGACTTTTAATATTATTTTATTACGGTTTCGCTTAGTTTGATTGCTACACAATATTAGTGACATCCTTCTATATGTTTTACAGTCAGTTGTGTTTCTCTTTGTGTTTGTTTTCTATTCCATATTAAATTGTATATTCAAGTTTTCTTTGCTTTGCTTCTATATATTTCCACAATTTAGGACTTTCCAATATTTCTGGCACTATGGTTAGACAGGGAGATTCCTTTACTCATTTATTCTTCAACCTGATCATTAGTAGGGACTACAAATGGATATAAAATGGCTGAAAAATAACTTAAAATACTCTGCTATGCAGACGATGCAATACTAATCTCTCGAAGTGAAGATGGTTTACAACGTATGCTGCACCAATTTAATATAACCGTCAGAAAATTCAACATGTTAATTTTCCAAAAAAAAAAAAATGCATGGTTATAACAGCAAAAAGAGCCGAAGGTTGAAACAATATGAAAAATGTTGGGCAGCTTAAAAGAAAGAGAAACAACCAATGCATGTGGCGTAAATGGGAATGCTTAGGTGAGTGGGTGAAGTGACTAAAAATGACAAAAGTAAGAATGGACATATTAATTGAGCTCTAGGGATGACATTCATTGAAGAAAAGAAGAAAATGAGAGGCTATAAGAAATAAACTCTCTTACCAGTTACTATGATATAAGTAATGGACAAAAACTTCTGAGAAAAGTTTGTGGCTCAACTAAAGCTGAAGAATAACTAATGATACTAATAAATTCTTGTAATGATTGATAACTGACTCAATAATATACAGACATTATAGATGGATGGTTAAATTCTATGATCCATTAGCTAAGTTAGACATTGACAAAGCTTTATAAAATTGATCGCGTTTTTCTTAAACTAATCCTACTCCTACCTGTATTTCGGGATTTGGTGTGGTTCTTTGAGTCATTGCTACCAAAGCTACTGAGAAGCTATAACGTGTTCCATACATTAAGAAGTACAAGAAAAACATAAAAATAACTTGAATGTGTCTCACACCAAAGGCCGGGCCTAAAAGAAAAACATATATTATTTTGAGGTAAATTTTTAATTAAGAAAACTTTTAAACAGTAAAAGGAAGTGTGTTAAAATAAGATCGCATAATTACCTGATAAGGGCTCGTAACTACTGAAACATAAGCATGCCATCTGTATCTGATAACTTGAATTCAGATCAGACAGTCAAAGATCAATGAAAGCAAAGACGATCTTCTATTTTTGCACAGAATACATAAAATGTCAAAATGTACGTAAATAGCGAACAACAATCAGTTAATTGAGTCATAATTTTAAAATATATTTGATAATTATATATTCGAGAATATTTTAGCAATATTTATTTATACCTCCGATACATAATTAAAAGTTTATTAATATTTTAAAGGCCAACACGAACTATTTAGTACAGTATGTATCTGAGCGTGTAATCAGCAATTGTGATTAAGTTGTATCTGGTTACATTTTTACGTTACATACATTTTATTAGTTTATAAACCTCTTCTTCCGTTCAACTTCCAATATTGGTTATATATACAGAGTGAGTTTGTAGTGCGAAATTGGTTGATAATAATTCTATTGTGGTACAGAATATTAAAAAAAATATGTAGAAAAAATGTAGAGAATAATATTGTCCAAGCTTGGATAATATTCAGAATTCTACAGGGTGATTAATAACTACGGTAAAGCAAAAAAACAATTTTTTAAACATGACCATCATCATCATCATTCGCTCCACAACCCATGGTGGATCTTGGCCTGCTCAAGGATGTCTCCATTCTCTCTTATTCTTCACCTTAGCTTTCCAGTTTCGTATTTCCAATATTCTCAATTCTTTCTCCACCTGATCCTTAAATCGTGCTCAGGGTCTGCCTCTCCTTCTCCCTCCATCTATTCTTTGGTTATAAATATGTTTTGCTGCATATTCATAAAATTTAAATATAATTTAACATTTATAAAACGACCGCAGCTGGTTTATTTTGATGGACCTAATAATATCAGGTTTGTTATACAGGCGGTAAAGATTGAAATTATAGCGTCTTCGTCATAGTCTTCCCTCTTAAACTCCTTAGATATGCCGGAGGATTTTACGTTCAAAGCATCTTAAACATTTTTCATCGTTATTTGTCATCGTCCATCTTGCCGACGCGTAGATGAGGATGAGCTTGATAAGATTTTTGTATATCACTAGTTTCGTTCTTTTTGTAACTAGGCTTGTTAAAATTTTGTTTAAATTTTTAATCCAAAATAGGCTCTATTTGTCAGATATACCCGTCTGTTAATTTCTGCACTTACTGCATCATCATCATTCAGCCAATCGCGTCCACTGCTGGACATAGGCCTCCCTCAGTTCTTTCCAGTGTTCTCTACACTGGGCCGCTTGTAGCCAGTTTCCCGCTACACGTTTAATGTCATCGGTCCATCTAGTCGGTGGTCGTCCTCGGCTTCTTTTATAATTTCTGGGCCTCCATTCCATAATACGTCTTGTCCATCGTTCATCTTGTGTTCTGGCTAAGTGCCCTGCCCAGTTCCACTTAAGCGTCGTGGTTCTTTCGATGACGTCTTGAACTCCTGATCTTCGCCTGATTTGTTGGTTTGTTATGTGGACTCGAAGGCTCACGTTCAGCATTGCACGTTCCATGGCTCGTTGTGTAGCTCTAAGTTTATTCGCAGATTTTTGCGTGAGTGTTAAAGTCTCTGCTCCATAAGTTTGTACAGGTAAAACACATTGGTTATAAACCTTTCGCTTGAGACACATGGGAATTGAACTTTTTAGAATATGGCTTAATTTGCCAAATGCTGCCCATGTTAGACCTATTCGCCTCTGTATTTCATGTGTTTGATTGTCTCTGCTTATTTTGATTTCGTGTCCCAGATATTTGTAAGTGTCTGTTTGTTGTATGGTATTATTGTCAATAGTTATATTTCCACTCATTACGAGATTTGTTATAATTTTAGTTTTCTCAAAGTTTATCTTTAGTCCTGCTCTTTCAGACAGAGTTTTAAGCGAATGCATCATAGAAACTGTATCATGTAAGTTATCTGCGATTAATACAACATCATCTGCAAACCTTAAGTGATTTAATCTTTCTCCATCTATATTGATGCCCATATCTTGCCATTGAGTACCCTTAAATATTGACTCTAGAGCTGCCGTGAACAATTTTGGTGAAATATTGTCTCCTTGTCTAACTCCTCGACCTAAGCTGAATTTTTCTGTGTCTTCGTGCTGTCGTATACTTGATGTAGCGTTCTGATAGATGTTTTTGAGTGTTTTTTAGTGTCGTGTACCCGTAATCTATTCGGCTTTGATTTAGGGCTTAGAGTATTGTTTCAAACTCTACAGAATCAAAAACCTTCTCGGAATCGACAAATGCAAGAACCAGTGGTATGTTGTACTCGATGCACTTTTCTATTAAGATCTTTATGGTATGCAAATGGTCATTTGTGCCATATCCTGCCCTGAAGCCTGCCTGTTCTTTGGGCTGATAGAAATCAAGTTTAGGTGTTAGCCTCTTTGTTAAGATTTTCATAAAGAGTTTGTACATATGTGTTAAGAGGCTGATGGGTCTATAATTTTCTAATTTAGTAATATCGCGTTTTTTGTGTAACAAGACTATTACTGCATTGTTCCAGTCTTTTGGAATCGTACCCGCATGTAATCATGCACTTACTGCATGATTCTGATTAATTTGTGAGCCTAGGTATATAAACTCTCTTACTGCTTCGAAAGTATATGTTCCGATCGTTAGATTCTCGGGTTGTGCTGATTGTATATAATTTGATACTTTGAAATACTTCGTCTTACTAGTGTTAACCTCTAGTCCCATTCTTTTTGTTGCTGCTTCAAGCGCTATGAATGATTCGATCACATCCGCCTTCCTTCTTGCAATAGTTCCTCTGGTTGTTATTCCAAATTCTCTTATCACTTTCCCTAGTGCAATATTGAATAGAAGGCATGATACGCTTTCTCCTTGTCTATCTGAGACTATCTATAAGTCCTATCTGAGACTGGAACGTTCTGGAAACTCCATTCTGCACTCTAACTTTACACTCGACTCTTGAGAGCGTCGCTTTCACCAATTTTACTAAGTGTACTGGGATGCTGAATTCTATCACGGCCTTGTACATTGCGTTTCTTTAATCACTATCATAGACGCATCTAAAATCAACAAACAGGTGATGAGTATCAATGCCATACACATATGTTTTTTCCAGAGCTTGCCTTAGAAGGAATATTGAATCGGTCGTTGATCTTTCTTTACGAAACCCATTTGATAGGTACACTAATATTTACCTACTATTTGTTAACGATATTTTGTTGCAGTCTAGAGCTAATTAAGTGGATTAAATTTTACGGCTAGTACGTAAGATCCTCATAATTTAAATTTAAAATCATAAAAAGATTTCTTTTAGATTTAGTAATAAAGAAATTGTATTTGTCTTCTCGACGTAGCTAGTATTTGACTAGCATTGTTCTGTATATTAATTCCATCAGTATCCTGAAAACGATTTACCTAGACGTAGCGAAAATTTTAAAAGGTTTTGTCATACAATGCAGAATACATATTTTATATTTATCTTAAATACAGAAAAATTTAAATGTCTACATAAGTAGATATTATTCATTTACATTTAGAATAATTTACTAATTAAAAAACAATACTTCTTACATAAACAACTACTAAAACACTGTTTACATAGAACATTGAACCTATCTTGAATTATATAAATGTACAATTAAACAATTTAATATTATACTTAAACGTTTCGTCACCAAACTTAAATATTTTCGTCTTAATCATAAAAAGAATATATAATTAATAGTTAGGTATAAAGTAATGCGATTTTATTGATACATATTTTTTATTGTACACAATACGGTTGAGGGGATTGTATAGTTAATTTTAAGGAATTTTTTCGATGAAAGAAGCATCTAAAGTCACATCTCTGTCATCATTTTTAAGGCGAAGTCCCATGTATCCGATTTCCGAGATCCGACATACGAAAATCGTATGGTGTCGCAGTTGCTATTTGGAAGCTAGTCACATGGATGCGATTGTCGGAAACGAAAATCCGTATAAACTGTTAACTGTCAATTTTTTGTTTATTGTTTGGATGTTTGGTGGTTTGGCTGGTAATTGCTGTTTTACCGCTTTTGCGTAGTAAAACAGCAGAAGGGATTTTTTCCGCATGGTATATAATCCCTTCTCCTGCTTTCAATAACTCAGTTTACTATGGATAACGTAGAAGAAACTATGTAACTTATGAAATGTGGAATTACGCATTCTAAGGTAATTGCAAATATTTATCAAGATCATTTAGCTTCATTTCCTGCAAGAGTGCAATAGATTATTAAAAGCCCCTTGTGACTTTTTTTAATGAAATATTTAACTAACCCAATATTTTCTTTGTCGAATTGTACGTTTTGTTTTTTTTTTGCGAATTAACAGAAGCAGACATAATAATAGCGTTTTATTAACTTTACAAACGTAGCTTCTTCAATTAAAATTCATGTTTCAATAAATTAAATGTACAGATGTTAAACTATTGGAATACAATTAGGTTACAAAACATCCGTTTTGTCGGAAAAAGTTAAAATAATTTTATCTTTATCCGATGTCGGAAGCGTAGTTAAAAATTTCGGATGAAATTCGGCGCGAAAATATTCTGATTCGATTCTGACCAATGAGAATACTTTCGGATCATCGTGTTGTCGGAAATCGGATGCATGGGACTCCGCCTTTAGACATTAATTGTCATGGAGCAAGACACATTGTCATCTTCTGGCCAAGTATGGAAATAATCCAGAAAACCACAGTGTAGTGCTGGATTAACCATGTTTCGGCCAAAATCTTAAACACCTTTCATAGATCATAGGTCTTCCTCAGCGCTTTAGAAGAAAGAAAGAATGAGAGAAAGAAAGAAAGAAGAATAACTGTATTATAATAACCTGTTTTGGTACTTATCGGTTCTTGGCTCTTGAGAAAAAAGAATTAAGATTTCAGATCCCTG